ATTGCCCAGCCATAAGTGGTGGAGCGGGGATGAAGCATGATGTGTGTGTCTCCCCCTTCAGGCATTAATGAGACATCTTCAGAAGCAAGAGAGAGAGAGAGAGAGAGAGAGAGAGCGAGTGAGAGAGAGCGTGGGAGAGAGAGATACTTTACCACCACCCAACCCAGACCCGCACCCCAAAAAAGAAGCCAGACACGGCGGCCCATTTCTTATTATCTTCGCCCAGATTTGGCCGGGTCCCAGTAAATTCTAGTTAGTCACCAGAGCCCAGCCCGGGTCCCTCTTCCTCGCCCAGCTCATAATTTGCTATTTCGCGCCTCCCCCATTCCGCCCCATAATTGACGGCCGACGAATCGGATTTGTTTTTTTCTTTCGATTCATTTTCGGCAGCCCATTGCAAGTTTTTGGGGGGCCGGTTTTCGTTTTTGCGGTAAAAATGTTGGCTTAATTTTCCATTTGGAATTTTTATTAGCGTTGGAAAATTTGGAAAATGTTAGTTTTCCCGTATCTTTCACTTTCTCGCTCTCTGTCTCTCTATCTCTCGCTCCTCTCTCTCTCTCCCTCTCTTTCTCTCTCTTTCTCTAGCTCTCTCGACTTTTTGCACCATCCCTCTAAAACCACGTAAACTCTACTGGTTCTTTCGCCTTATCGGGGGCAGAGGATTTTTTAGTGTCCACTGTTGCTAATAGAGGAAATTTTTTCAATGGTTTTGTACATTCCTAACCGCAAAACTTTAGAAAATTTGCTTAAAGCACCAAAATAGGTTTTCCCCCAAACTTTCGACTTTTGAAAAAAATGTTCAAAGCTTTGTAGATAGTTTGCAATTGAAAATTCAAATAAATAACTGCAATTTTTAGCTGTCGCTAACCCTTTAAATTCCTCAAATCGATCCCTCAATAAGCCCGAATTGCGGGCCCTACGCAACTAGTCGACGCGTGCAGTGGTGAAGATTTATGCGGGCCGAAAAGGCCGTGGCGGCAGTCATTTTCTCATAGAGTCGGGGAGGGGGGGGTCTTCTTTGGTGGGCCCTTTGGTGGGCCCTCCGTCTTTTTTGGTGTGTGCGATCAGGTGGGGTGGACGGGCCTTTGTCTCCATCCCGGGCCGCCGGGCCCACCCCAAAAAATTCGAGCTCGGACTTGGCCCCGGTGGCCCTCATATTCTTTGTCTTCTGGAGCCGGCAAGGTTTCCGTCGACTTTCAAAAACTATTAATTTTTACTTCCCGGTGGCTTTAAAGCGACTGGGAAGGGGAAATCAACCCCCGTCCGATGGCTAGATCTCGAAAACTCCGATATGCTCCAAATGACTCACGGAGACGCTTTTTAAGGGACTGGGAAGTAAGAACACCGACACCTTCGAGTGGCTCCAGTGACGATGCGCTCCAAACTACTTTTAAAGGGATTAGAAAGGGCGCAAACCAACCCATTCCGGTGGCTAGGTCTCGATAGTTCCGAGATGTTGCAACTGACCCCTGGTTAAACTTTTAAAGGGACTAGAAAGTGTGAAAATCCCTCCTTCCAGCGGCCAGCTCTCGATGGCTGCGAGATACTCCAAGTGACGCATGACGGGACTTTCTAAAGGGGCTGGGAAGCGTGAGAATCTACCCTTTCCGAGACTAGATCTCAACAGCTCCAGACATTAAAAACGACGCCTGAAAGGACTTTTTAAAGGAGCTAGGAAGCGCGAGAATCAATACCTTCAGGTGACTAGGTCTAGACGGTTCCCAGATGCCTCAAAAGCCATATTCACTTAACTTTTGGTACGTTGAGTATCTGTCGATTCCCCACGCTGCATATGCCCTTTAAAAGGACCGGGAAGTCATGCGAAATCAACCAGTTAGGCTAGGATATATATAAACCAAAGCGCTATTAGAAATACCCTAAATCCTTCCGTATTTCATGGCGTAAACGGTTGAGTTTGGCTGTCCGAGCCACTTTAACGACCCAACGAGTCAAATTGCCGTTTTTGTTAAACTCGCTTATGAATTCCATGTAATCTGCCAATTTGCCAATTTTTGAGCGGCCCATTCGTGGAAAATGGGCCGGACCCGAATTTCCTATCCCCAAAAACAAAACAATTTTTTTGCGCGGAACACCTCCCCACCATCGCAACAACCAAAATACGGGCATCTAATATTAGTCTCGAATCTGATCATATCCTCTCGCCCGTCCCCAGCTCGCCCTTTACAGTCCAGGGTTTTGTCGTCACTACCACGGGGGGAGGGGTGATATTTTCGTGGGATATTCTAGGAGGGCCCACCGGGGGTCCCACCAGGAAAATCCGGGGCCCTCCCCCGTGCTGTGGATTAATCCGGGCCTCCTTGTCGCACTCTTTACGCACCCTCTCCCCCCTGGCGGCTCACGTTTTAATAGTTTTCTAGTGGGGGCCGGCGCATTGATTTTGGCCATACTCAAAATATTAATAAAAATTAGATTTTTTTGCCGTGCGGAGCGGGTTTTAACGTCTAGATAAACGATTACGCCATGAAATTGCCTGTTTGGAAGATCGTTTTCATAGTTTCGAGTTTGAAACCATCGGTTTTTCTGGTGCTTTACCTTGATCTACAAATAAGAAAAGTTTTCTTTGCGCTGTTTGTAAGCTTAGGTTTTAATAATCGGTTACGACATGAATTCTCCAATTTTGCAAACCGTTTTATTAGTCTCTAATACGAAACTTTGCTTTTTACGGTACTAAAAATAGAAACAGACAATCTAAACCGATTTTCGCTCCACTATTTACGTTTTAAGTTTTAACCGAAACAATTACGAGCAACATTAAAGTTTTTACATAGTTTGAAACCATCTAAGAACGAAGCTGAAGCTCTCTAAAAGCTACAAAAAAATTAAGCTCGAAATTTTGGCCAAAATCAGCCGTTTTGGCTGAAAAATCGAAATTTTTGATATTTTTAATAAAAGTTTGTAAAGGCTTCACCTCTAGGAACACTTCCTTCATTTATCTTGGAAAACAAGATCCTAAGAAAAAGTGGCCCCGTCGATAGCGAAAGAAACGAAAATCTAGTACCTTACCCGCCTTCTTCCGATTTTACCTAACCGATTACGCCATGATTTCCCCGGCTCTCCAAACAAAACCAATTCTAAAGTTATTATTGACCACAGATTGAACATTTGCACAATTCCCCCGCCAGTTTTAATTCCCCAAATGGCCGGCACGAGGGTCGGTTCCGCGCATCGGAAACCCCCTTCAAAAAAACTTGGACGCCCGAATCGGAGCCCCCATAGGGCAAAATGGCCCGGCGAACGAATATGATTTGGAATGCGGCGCGCGCGGCGCCGGCGACGACGACGACTCGAATTTCGCACAAAAAGGCGGAAAGCCCTGAAAAATTGGGGCGCATTTTAGGGCGGGCCCCGAGTGAGAGTGAGTGAGGGTGGTCACGGTGGGTGGATGCAGTGGACCAACCGGGGACCACTTTCACATCCTCATCACATTCGCGCTCGGCGAGCCAATTTGGTCTAAATAAATCGCTAAATTGATCCAATTAGAGCAAAAAAGGCTTACAAAGGTTTGAACCAGTTGTTTAGGTCAATACCAGGCTTAAAATTCGCCTGTTAATTTAGTGCTTTGGTTTCTTCGGCGTTTAATTCAGTCGCCTGTCAATTTTCACAGTGTTTTCATAAAATTCTCTAAACTTCGAGCGGATAAATTAGCTAGAAAGCTTCGGATTTTTTAAATTTGAGACTCCCGTCAAAGAAATAGCAACTTTTGTCTTTATCCAAACTTCTAAAGTGTCCGCGTTAAAATAGCAAAACAGTTTCTCGTTACGTTAGAAAACTTTGGACTGTTTCCCTTCCCAAATAATTCGAAAGAACCCGCGTACGACTTTTAGAGACCGTAATACCGTTTTTTAGGGAACCCGAGACCGTATTCTAAGCCTATTTCGCCTAAAACAACAACCCACCCCGAGCTAATAGCTTAACCCTAATTCTACACCCCCACTTCCCCCACTGCTCAAGTCTCAATATATGCTGTTTGTGGTCGTGAGACCCATTTCCGAGCCGCCTCCTCCTCTTTTTCACCACCCAGGCGGCCCACCGTTAGGCGGGAGCCGCTCTGTGCCCCCCTTATTGCCCGGGCGAAAATGCAATTTCCAGCCAAATGGCATCCGCCGCATAATCCGAACAGCAGCACCACCGGAGGAGGCCAGTCGTCGCTTCAGAAGCACATCAGCACTCAGCCAGCGTCGTGCCGCCAGTAACCAGGTTCGTCTCCCTCGCCAATAGATCCAATCAGTAATGGCCGGCCGGAAATTCCGGGAACTGGCGCCATTTTTGCGATAGATACGCCTCCCATTGTTCAGAAGCCCGTCAACCCTGCTCGCAAATGAAGTTCCGCTCGTTGGCGCTGTCGCTGCGCGTTTTTGGTGTCAAGGGGATCAAGGGATTGCTGCCGCCCAACGATGTGAGTTAACTTATTTGCTTCTGCGCATTTTTCATTGTGCGTATTTTCTATTTACGGGGAAATTAGCAAATGTCGCACGGATCGCACGCTACGATTTTCTTAGGCCGGCAAAAGAGCAGTTTTTTTCTTCCTATTTAATTTTATGTACTGTCGTATTTCAAAAAGCGTGTAACCCGTCCAACATTTACTAAATCCGTATTATTATCGACTCTATCTCAATCTTACACACCGAATCCTCTATCCCGAACTCTAGTCACGTAGTGAAAATATTTTTTTCCGGGTAGTAACTGCCACTCTTCCTTTAAAACTCATTAACTCGCCAAGGGGCTAAATTCAATAATTTATGCAACCTGTAAATCATTTGGGAAAGAATAATACGTGGTATCACCATTGTAGACGAGATCAAATTGAATGGGTTACCGGTAGAGGAATGAGCATCATATAGGCAGGAAAACTAACAAAGAAAAGCAGATAGCTTGGAATTGGGGACTAGTGAAGGCAGCGTCTCATCGAGGAAGGCAAATTAACATTCGAGCAAATGTGCAAATCGTGAAGAAGGTCGACGAACAGCTATCCAAAGCTACCAACCGTCTTCGACCTCATCATCGTTTTGGTATTGATGACTGGGTGTTGGTCCCCGCGAGCGTCCGTCACGTCGACGTCTGTTTCCAGATGGCGCTGGAAGCGACTGACGACGAGCCGGTCGGGGCCCTCCTTCTTGGAGACATATTTCGAGGAGGCGATCAATGAATTCAATGGATCGCTCGCGCGAGCCCGCGTCCCATTTCTGTCCAGTGTAGAGGGTAATCTCGTGGCGGGCCAAGTTGGGCGTCGAGAATAGGGCTTCTAAACTGATAGTTCAAAGAATAACATTATCCGGTTATTTAGGGGAGCAGGCTTATTTACTTATCGACAAATTTTTCTAACAAAAGCCACGGAAACGCTGTTTACTAATGCTAAACTTTCAAAAAGTAGAAATTCTGGTTATAAATACGGAAATGCCGATTTTTCGACCAAACTTTCAGATTTAAGCATTTTTCCAAATAAAAATAATTAAATTTTACTAAAAAACTATTAGATAACTCGCGTATCTCACTATACCCAGCTGCACTTATCGAAAAAATTCCGTTTCCCCCCTCAACACTAAACGTTAACAAAAAAAAATATACCTGTTAGGTAGTGGCGACTAGGATTTTCGAACGAAATGTGGAACTTTGTAATGAAGTGCCCATCGAAGGACAGCTTGTTGTGATGCCGGGGGTCCCTAACGAACCTGCATGCGGGCGTCAGCTTCTAAAGCGCAGGTCAAGAAAGTTGACAATCACCAACCCTTGTCTGTATAATTCGCTTGTACGCCTTGGACTTGGACAGCTCGTACTCTTGCCTAAACAAAGGAGGGTTTATCAGAAAACCGGGAAGGTACCCGAAATTGTCGTGGCTGCACACAACACCGTCGAGATCGACGGCCATACGGAGTAGCAATAGATCGTCGTAGACCGGCTTTGGTGGTATGACCAGCAGCCCAAGTCTTTCCAACGGCTAAAAACAGAAGAATACGTTTGGGCCACGGATCCAGCTTTCCCCCAGATTTTTATTTCGCCGATTTCGTTTCTGTCAAGTTTTGATCATTTCCATTGGCCTTTTGAGTACAATCTCACTCGAAGAACTACCTAAAAACTTTAAAAAAATGTCAAAGTCGAGACTTTGACCGAAAATCGGCGATTTTTGGCCAAAAAATCTACATCTTTTTTTTATATTTTCATACAAATTTGTAAAGTTGATTGCTCAGAAACAGTAAAAATCAGAATTAGAAACACCCGCTAGTTATATTTGGAGAGCTAGAGCTTAAGAAAAAAAAATTGCAATGCGATAAAATTAGAAATTGGCTAAATGAAATCGCGAACCGAACGCTCAACAAACGGTGGCCCCACCTTGCAAATGAACTCGTTTCGCACGTGGCGCGGCCGCGTATACTTTGGCTGCAGCACGGTGATCACGTTGAAATCATTGCGGAGGAAGTAGCGAATAACGGCCAACAAATGGACGAGATCCTTTCGCGTATCCGCAGCCGAGTCGGGCGGATTCAGCTTGCTATAAAGAATTCAAGAGGCAAGGGAAGACCGCATACCTGCACTCCGCATGGGCTTGGTGGAGCAGGTTGGCGCCATCTATGATGATGATCCTGCGCTCGGCCGTTGCTGGAAGGTCCTAAACAAGCGCAATAATCAGCCAAGATAAGTGCCAAACCCGTGGCTTTTCCAACATGCCGTGTTCGTCCATTGTGATGAAGGTGTCCTCCATCTCCATCTCTGAAAAATGACTAAATATAGGGTGAACGAAGGCTAAATATCAAAAATTGCAAAACAAGGAAAGAATGCAGAAAAGGGGAGAGGGCAGCAAAGGGCTGGGGAAAGCGTAAAAAAGACCGGGCCCGCCCCATCGCTATGCTTTTTCTCGCGTAAGCGAACCTGCTGAAAGAAGGCGCGTTGAATGGGGCCCAAGGCTGGCAAAATACTGCAGCGCGTCGCAGGAATTACCTTTTTAAAAGGTTGGGGGAAGAGACACTACAAAAGGTATGTCGAAAGTAGATACGGGCGCAAAGGACAAACCTATTGCCCGAAGCTCGACTTCGTTTAATTTTTCGGCTTTAGTTTCTCGTTTCTCTTTAGCCTCTAGTTTTTCGGCATTTTTGTAGTTCGAATGGCAAGAAGTTGTTCAAAGGTGGCTGAAAAGGGGATGATGAAACTAGAAGGTTTTTCTGCAAAATTTCATTGAAAAACGAGATAAATCACGAATTTCTAATGCACGCGCGTCCGGATCGCTGCCAACCTGCGCCATTTGGTGTAGCGCGGATTTCCACAACGGCGGATGTGGCACAGGTCGCGCAATAGCAAACAACCGTTCAAAATCGAATTCCATGTCGTAATTCAGGGTTTTCTTTTCGTAAAACTCAAAGGAATGTTTACAAAAAAAATATTTATCGAAACAGAACAACAAAAACTATAAATATTTGGTAGAGGCGAACAATAACAACTTTTTCATCCATTTTCAACGGGATTCACCTCCGCGGCTTTCTTCTTCATACCTGATTAGCCCGTTCTGTAGATTAATTGTTTCGCACGTTTGAAAATGCCTAATGCTCGCTGTTGAAGTCTCGTAAGCGGCTTGCTTGTGCATCACTTAGCGGGCAACGCTATATACCTTTATCATACCACTTTGCGCAGGCATGCTTACCAGCCCGATGGATTATCTTTACCGGAGACGTAGAAGATGCAAGTGGCGTGGATGGATTTGTCTGCAATATGTCCTAATCAATACTCCACTCTGAAACGCCTCGGCTGAGCTTCATGAGAGGAAGAAGCATGTTGAGTCGTCAGGCCATCTAGCCCTCGACTATGCGTTCCGGAATGTGACGCTGGTTTCACCATAAGACCAAAAGCTGTTGAGCACTTTTGATTCCAGTAAACGAAGTATAAAGTGTAAATCGTTATCAACCAATGCTTATTAATGCTTAGGCTTAGGCAATACTCAATGCGTATTAATGCTCCTCAGGCAGCACCCGACAAGAGTCAGGGCTCTAGACGAATATCTGTCAAATCAGATAAAAGAATTTCCGACTGAAGAGAAGCACGAAAAGCTCGCAAAAAATTGCTAAGTCCAAAAATACCCCAATCAGAGAAGCATCTGAAAATTATAGACTCGAAAGTAAGAGGCACGAAATGCTTTGCTGGCGCAGGAAAGAGCACAGCGGAAAGCCGCGAAGATGAATCCCGTTTCCAATGGATGAAAAAAGAGTTGTTATTGTTCGTTTCTACCAAATATTTATAGTTTTTGTTGTTCTGTTTCGATAAATATTCTTTTGTAAACATTCCTTTGAGTTTTACGAAAAAAAAAACCTGAATTACGACATGGAATTCGATTTTGAACAATTTTGCTTGCTATTGCTCGACCTGTGCCATCGGCCGTTGTAAAATCCGCGCTAGTGCCATTTGGTGTAGCGCGGAACGGACGTTCGGGATTTCGGATGTTTGCAACGAATTACATCTTCCGTGGACGATTGAACGTTCATAGGCGGGCCACGTACAATCGCTATCCTGGATTTTGTTTTTGGCCGAAATATTTTTATATAAAAGTGAGTTAATTCTAGTTATAATTTAATACCAATCAAGGCATCATCTCGCCCAAATTTCTCACGTCACCCCGCGGAAAAGTGGCGATGGTGCAGCCAGCTGGCGCGGGACCTGGGGGTGCTGGGCGATAGAGTGTGGCGATAAGCGGCGAGAGTTGGCGCCGATCGAAGAGAAGGTGGTGGTGGGAGAGATGTGGAGAGAGAGGATAGGAAAGCTGGCAACGACCAGCCGGTGGGAGTTGTGAGAGGGATCGGCGAACACGTGGAAAACGGGCGGAGAAACGACACGGCGAATCGAGGGAGCGGGGAAATAGACGACCGCGCACATCGATTGATCAAATTTGTCGATGAAAACGCAATTTATTTAACTTTTTTTACGCCGGTTTTGATGTTTATAGAGTTTATAAAAAAATTAGGATGTTTAGGATGTTCTAAAAAGCTTTGTTTCATTGTTTGCTTGACTGGATTTCTTGTTGCGAAAGTTGCTTGGTATTTTTAGACCTAACGGATCCGGGCCGTGCATACAAATTGTTGCGCGTTTCGTCTTGGCCGCGGCGAAATTAAGTGAGTCTCTCTCGCGTAAGAGGGGCGGCATAAGTCGCTCTCGCCGCGGGACCTGTTGAACCCCCCCTCCCCAAGGGGGGTTCAACAGATGCCGTCCTCATCTCTTTAAGTAGGAATTTCGGTACTTTAATCGACAAGCCTACGCCAAGCCTTAGCCTATGCCTCTGCGTAAGCCCGAGCCTAGGCTCAAGCCTAAGCGCCTAAGCCCAGCTAGATTTCTTTCCAGTTTCGATTTCAGGTGGGAATAAATGTTAGTCAGGAGCGCGTCGTGGCTACGTCGCGGTCCAGCAGCTCACAACTTCTTGGTTTTCAAAAGTTCATGCGAAAATTCTTTAAAAATACGAATCACAGGGCAGTGACGCGTCGCGGTTGCGTAGCACTCGTAATTCGGTCGTTTTCAAGAATGTTTTTAGAGCTAGAAAAAAATGTAGTTTCCAGTCAATAAAAAGCGAATTGGGCCCCGGAATACGAGAGTCCCCCACAACAAAGTAGCACAACACGGGAAAAGCCGGAGGGTGGGCAAAAAGCCCGTGTGTTTCTTGTGTGTATGCCTTTTTGGCGCTGGGGTTTCCTGCCTTCTTCGTCGTCGTCGTCGTATCCTCAGGGCATATCCGGGCTTTGTCTGTCTCTCCGTCTCGCTCGCTCGCTCTCTCTCTCTCTCTCGCCACCTCGCGCGTCTTCGGCTTCTCCCCCCATTTCGCTGGCTATTCCCCTCTTCCCTCCTCCTCCCCTCCCAGCCTGCCACATCCACATAGTCTCATCTCAGCCTCCCCCCTGGCCACAAAAAGGCACCCACAAAAAACGGACACTGATTCACGTGTGTATGTGCTTCTCGTTGGGGATGACAGCTCCACTCTGCCCAATTCCCCCGTTCCGTTTTCACATTTTTATTATGAATCCATTTCCGGTTTTGTAAGGTTAGCTTGAAGGATACGTCGAGGTATTTGGTGGCTTTTTCATTGCTGGAAAATGGAGCTAAATTTGGACTATTTTTCTCTACAGCCACCTCTCTCTCTCTCTCTCTCTCTCTCTCTCTCTCTCGCTCTCCCAGCCTAGCTCTTGCTCTTGGGACTTCAGCCAATGAATTAAATTTTGTTGTGCTAAATATAAAATTAATTCAAAACGGGGCAAATTTAAATCAACTTTACCATAATAACTACTGCCTTAATAAAATTTTACAAAATTTTAAACCTCAAGTTTTGGAAAAGGTTTTTTTTGTGATCTTTCGGCCGGGGCATTGACAATCTTCTCGCTTTCCGATCCGTTACGGTCCGCTTTACGTAGGCTAGTAAAAATCGTATTCTCGTAAATCGCAGCCAATTTTTTGTTAGCTACAAAAACTACGGACAATACTCAATCAACAGCCCCGGTGGATGCCAATTTCAATTTCAATTTCTCAAGAGATTTTCGAAGCTAGTAAGAGAGAGAGAGGGAGAGAGAGAGAGAACGAGAGAGAGAGATAGAGAGAGAGAGAGAGAGAGAGAGAGAGAGAGAGAGAACCCGAGATAGAGAGAGGGGATTTGGAGTTGAGCACAAATCGGCGAGGCCGAATAGGCGCGGGGGCTATTGGTTTCTTCTTTATCCCCCTCGAAAGAAGGGTAGATAGAGGGGGGGAAAGCCTCTCCTTTAGGAGGCACAAGAAATGAATACGCAAGCAGCTAGCACAGCTCTCCCTCATTCTCTCTATCCGGTGGCTTCTCCCCGTGCCCTTCCCTAACGAGATTTTGACCCGAGACTGGGATTCGGCCGGCCGGTAGAAAGGCTAATGAACATCGACTTCGACTTTAAGTAGCTTAAACTTTACATTAAAAGATTTTTGATGTTTTTTAATTCAAATTTTTGCTCTTACTACCAGTGATCGTTGCTACTTTGCCCAATAAAACGTGAAATTCCTCAAAAATCACTGCTGACCCGCCAAAATCGCACGGAGCCTCAACGAGTTGACCAAAAATCTAAGGTTCTTTTGCATTATGGAGGGAACCAAATTTTTCCTTTATGTTTCAATTTTTCTAAAATAAATAGAGAAAGAAAATATGCTTTTTTAAATTCCCAAACGCAAAAAGTTACAAATTTCTTCTAAAAATCTCACTTTTTCGACGGTAAATTACGGATTTTCGACCAAAATGCCGAATTTTAAGGAATTTGTTAGAAATTTTAGGTAGTTTTCCACTTATTATCCATGTAAATTTTATTAAAACCTTACTACTACGTTACTAGGCATTTCCGGACTTATCCCCCCCGATAATGCCAAAGCACCAAATCAAGCTACCTGGTCAAAAATCCGCAATGATCCCTGCTAGTTTGCCCACTCAGCCAATCACGTCTCCGCCTGCTATGCCTCTGCCCAAGCCCAAGCCTAAGCTCAAGCTCAAGCCTAACCCTAAGCCTAAACTCCTAAGCCCAAGGCTATCCCTTAGTCCGAGCTCTGCCAATCACACGCCACTCCCAAAAGTATTTTATTGCGGCCATCTCCTCAAAATGTGAGAAATTGGGCGCATCCTCGATGGCCTGAGGGCATATTTCCTTCTTCTGGGGCGCCTCGATTTTATTTATTTTGTGTGGAATGAGGGGTGGCTATCGTGGAATGGGGGTCTCGAATAAGCAGAAGAAGAAGAAGGGCCCAGTTTCCCACACGATTCGATTACACGCTCTGGCCGCCGTTTTTAGGCCCGCCCAGATAGATCATAGCTGCCATGGGAGTGCCGGAAATCAAATTGAAAATCGTTTTCAAGAGTATTCATGGGATAAGGGATTTTTTTAAACTCGCTTCTTCTACCGCAGATGGACGACAGCCAGCTACGCCATCTAACTCCCTCGCCTCTTCATTTTCACGCATTTTCCACCTAAACCGATTTAGTTTTCGATCCCTATCCAAACGATTTTCTAAAAATCGCTCCTTCTACCGTAGCTGACCAACACCAGCCACATAATTTAAGTTACTTTTATTCAGTGGCTTGCCGCTTTTAATTGATTTTTTCTGCTTCAAAATCGGGTTATCTACTGTCTTCCCGAACCGGTTACGCCATTAAATCACTCGAAAATTTACGTTAAAGAAAAATAAAAACGTTAAGAGTAAGTGTCCATTTTAGTCTTTTGGCCAATCGATTACGCGATGAAATAATTTGCAGCTTGTTGTTAGCTTAGGCTAGGCTTCGCTTAAGTCAGGCTTAGGCTTAGGTTGAGCTTGGGTTAGACTTAGACCCTTACGCCATGAAATGGTTGTACCAACCCCGAATTTCGTGAATTATTGTCAGCCTCCTAGCCGTCCACAGCCACAACCCGTTATTAGAGCGTTTGGCGGAACATCTCTCATCCTTCGCCCACCCCCGTCTATAATAACCATTTCTGTGTTTGGGGGTTGTCAAAACTTTTTTGCCGCCCTCCGCCCCCAAATATTGACTATTGCCCCGGTGGACTGACGTAACTGTGGAAAAAAATGTAAACATTACGATTTGATAGGCTGATTTGCTATTGTTTATGTGGTAAAATTCAGTTATCTCTCGACCAGTTCTTTCTTTCTTTCTCTCTCTCTCTCTCTCTCTCTCTCTCCTTCTCGCGCTCCCTCGCTCTCTCACTCACTCACTCACTCTCTCACTCGCTCTCTAGGTCTCTCTCGCTCTCTCTCGCTCGCTCGCTCTCTAGCTCTCTCTCTCGCTCTCTCTCACTCACTCACTCACTCTCTCACTCGCTCTCTAGCTCTCTCTTTCTCGCTCGCTCTCTCTCTCGCTCTCTCTCGCTCGCTCGCTCTCCCTCTCCCTCTCCGTTTTTAAGAAGTGTAGCCGTTAGTATCCTTTTTCCACCACGGTTAATGCTAGCTTGCCCACGGTTTGCCTCGGGGCCATGCCTCAAGGAATCCCGGCTAGTTCCAGCGATTCGTTTTCATAGGGTTTTCCTTGATTCCTCAACCATCTTTGCTAATTTGCCCTTCTTTCAAAATCCGGAACTTTTCCCAAATGGTCTCCGCTGGTTTGCCTTAGTTTTCATAGTCCCTTTAAATAGTCCAAAATTCCGTTTCATCCGTGTTTTTGGATCGTTTTGTGCTGTTCAAGTAGGTAGGGCAGAGAGAGAGAGCGAGAGAGAGAGAGAGCGAGGGAGCCCGGTGCTTGCTGCAGGCTGGCTATTATTTGTTTGTGTAACCATTTGATGGAATGTTGTATTGGGGAGGGGCATTGAGTGCTTTTCCGCCCAAATAACCTTGAACCGATTCCCGCTCCCATTTAAAGGGACCGGGAACGCAAATTCGAGTGGGGGCACGCTAGCCCTTCCCAAAATGGAACCCTACGTTCCGCTACTTCCGAACACTGGCTTTTCATCGAGGGCTCTGGTCGAGATGTCGAGTATTGCAATTTCGGCGCTATCGAGAATTGTTGGGATCGGAAGGAGCTTGGAGGTGGTATCTTGGGTAGTGTATTGTAGTTTGGGGAGGTTAGTTGCTTTTGTGGTAGAGATTGATCGGCAATGCCTTCTAGATACGTTTAAAAATTGTGGAGAGACAGAAGAGCGTGAGAAAGAGAGAGCCAGCGATACTGAAAGAGAGTGTGAAAAGAGCGGGAGATAGAGAGAGAAAGATAGAGAGAGAGACCGAGATAGAGAGAGCGCTAAGTAGTGAGAGAAAGAAACCGAGAGAGACCACAGAGAAAGAGAAAGAGAGTGAGATCGAGAGCGGAAGCGAGAGAGAGCGAAAGAAAGAGCCAGGGAGTCTCAGCTTGCTGATGCCCTTAGAAAAACCCAACGTCAGCTTATTCGCGCTTTTGTTTTGGCTTTTTCGCAGGGAGAGTGAGAAAGAGAGAGAGATAGAGAGAGAGACAGAGTGAGAACGAGAGAGAGAGAGAGAGAGAGAGAGAGAGAGAGAGAGCGAGAGAGACCAAAAGAAACATCCAAATCCCGGCAACGATTGTTTTGTCAACAGCTGCTGCTCCATATACAAATTTTCGGCGGCGCGTCGACCCACTAATCCCGGGGGGGTCGAGCAATCGAGATGCACACACTTTCTCGGGGCGGGAAGCGTTGGCGTTTTGGTGGCGGGGGTTGGATAGTAGCGGTGGGTGGGGGGGGGGGGCTGTGTTTCTGTCCGTGCTCCTTTCCCTGTGATTTCTATTTACCGTCTCTCGGCATGTTCGCGCGCGTCTAACCACTCGCCCCACCCATGACTCCCGTGTCTACAGCTACGCCATACAACCCCCCATACACAACAATCATCACTGTCATTTTGGGGCAGTTTAAAGGACCTTCCCGATTCCTCAAAAATCTCTGCTAGCCTGCCCTCTCCTCAAGTATCTCTACGTGCTTGCCATTACCTGAAAATCTCTGCTAGCATGCCCTCTTGTAGAGAAGCTCATTCTTTAACAAACGCTGTCTTCCTCTCATTGAGGCTTTGCTTACAAGGGAAGGGCACGGTCACAGGGTGGTGTTTCGAAAAACGCTCGCGGCTACCCCCGGGTAATCGACGACGGAGAACACGATGCCGCTGTCCGATTTTGCTACGGAGGCCTGTGGACAGAGATACAGCACTTCCGGAAAATGCTGATTTGCATGCGAAAAATTAGCATTCGGGGGAAGCCTTATTAAGGTCTCCCATTAGTATGGAACCACCAGTTGAATGGCCGAGTGGTAAGCAACTAGCTTGATAGGATAGTGACCAGGGTACGGATCCTCTCACGAGTTTTTCGTTTTGCCTTTTGACAATTTTTTTGTACAAGTCATTCTTGATGCCGTATGAAACGTTTAGCGAACAAACAAAAACTTTTTCGCAAATTTTATTTTTCCGACCTGCCGCCCATCCACCCATCGGCTTGTGAAACCATCAAAAAAAATTGTGGGGGACCAATTTCTTGCACAAGCCAAAGGTCGCCCGCTTGTTTGGTTTGTTCCACTTTCGACTGTTGTAGGGTCCCGGTAAAATTAGTAAGACAACGATCTTAAAAAATTTGTTAAATTTTGGATAGTCTGACGAGCCGATGGGTGGCAGGGCGGAAAATAAAATTTTTCGAAAAAGTTTTTGTTTGTTCGCTGAACGTATCATACGGCATCAAGGGTGGCTTTTCACACATTTAGACAAGGTTCTGGACTTGTACAAAAAAAATTGTCAAAAGGCAAAAAGAAAAACTCGTGAGAGGATCCGTACCCTGGTCACTATCCTATCAACCTAGTTGCTTACCACTCGGCCATTCAACTGGTGGTTCCATACTAATGGGAGACCTTAATAAGGCTTCCCCCGAATGCTAATTTTTCGCATGCAAATCAGCATTTTCCGGAAGTGCTGTATCTCTGTCCACAGGCCTCCGTAGCAAAATCGGACAGCGGCATCGTGTTCTCCGTCGTCGATTACCCGGGGGTAGCCGCGAGCGTTTTTCGAAACTCCACCCTGTGAGCGTGCCCTTCCCTTGTTAGGCTTAGGCTTGACTTGGGTTCAGGCTCAGGCTTAGGCTTTGGCTTAAGCTTCTCCTACCTGGCAACAACCCCCGACTCGCCAACCCATTACTCGCCGAGGTAACGGCCGTCAGCTGGCCCCCTTGAAAGCTTTTTGATGGCTTCGCAGCTCAGTAATCCCGAAAACTTCCCCAATGGATCCCTGCTAGCCTGCCCTTCCTCAAGAAGCCTTGCTAGCCGGCCCTGTTCTCAAGAACCGCAGCCAACTTCTGCTTTTTTAAATTCTTTTTGCTAGCGTACCTTTCCGAAAAAAAATTCTGGCTAGCTTGCCTTTCCTAAAGCATCCAGGCTAGCTTCCTTTTCCGAAAAAATATCTGCTACCCTACCTTTCCTAAAGAATCTCTGCTAGTTTGCCACTATAGCCTCGAACATCGAATTCGTCACAAATTTTCGGACGCACTGAATCAGCAAAATTTCTCCGGCCGCTTGAATCATTTTTGGAGGCTTAAAATGGTTCCATTTTAATGTTTATGAATTCATGACTTTCCGTGTAACCGTTCTTTTGAATCAGTATTTTCTAAAATTGTTTAATTCTATGCTGTTCTTTGGATAATTTCCAAACCTCAAACTATAAAAAAGACCGCATTCAGCCGGCCCAAAATGGAAGGCGAAAAATAATGAGGGTTTCTCCCTCTCACTCACTCTCTCTCTTCTTCTCTCTCTCTCTCTCTCTCTCTCATCTTATAGCCACAAATAATTATCGGCACCCAGGCCAATTTGTGGTGGCTAGTTTAGAGGGCTTTTTGGGCCTTCTCTTAGGATTGGTTGCCTTAGGTTTGATTGAGGCTTGAATTTGAATAATTCGGCATGCCAGTCACTTTTGGACTTCTTGGCCGCGATACCGCACTCGCTCCCTTTCCATCGCGTAATCGAATAGGCCCTACTTCAAGGAGATCAAGCAAGATCGGGTGGTTCCCTTGTTAGGCATCAGCTTAGACTTAGACTTAGACTAAGACTTACGCCTCGGCTTAGACTAGGGCTTAGGCTTAGGTTTAGACTTAGGCTCAAGCTTTAGCTTAGGCTTCGGCTTAGGCGATGACGTGGGAAAAACCTGGAAGGTCAGATATGTAGAAAATTCGAAGACAGCAAAATTCGTTAACAATTCCTTTAAAAGCGATCTAGTCTTTAGTTTGCCATGTCCAAAGGTCAATCCCCCCCGTACTCGGCGCGCTGATAACCAATTGTTAATCTGAACCCTAAGCCGGCTCAGCAAGATTTTTTTTCCACCCCTTTCTTGTCCCTTTTCCTGCTGTCCACCGTAGCTCAGCGGCTACCGCTTTTTTGCCCCCGTTTTTTGGCGGCCGTCATTGTGGATTGGAGCTGGCGGCCCATCCACCCCCACTCGACAATTGGCAATTAGCCAAAATGGCGTCCGGGTGGTGGGAGACTTCCATGCGGCTAGGAATTCTGGTTTAGGCTTCGAAGTATTTTTTACTAGTATTTAAGAGGAGTATGACCGCTGAATTATGATTTCGAACTCGTTTGAAACGTTAGAAACTGAGAGGATGAACTTCACGTCTTTTATGAGCGCGAGGGATCGAGGGCGAGAGCGAGAGAGAAAGAGAGAGACACAGAGAGAGAACCGCTTCATGAGAGAAAGAGATAAGTGGATTAAGAGCGAGACAAGGAGAGTGAGAGAGAAAGAACGAGATAGAGAGTGAGAAAGCCAGCGAGAGATAGAGAAGATGTGAACGGGCTATTTTTCTTTTTAATTGTTTGCTCTATTCCTGACTCACTTTTTGAGGGTGATAAGCCCGGGGCGTAGGACACACCCGAGGGCCAAATCGAGTGTGAGTGTCTGTTTTGGGCAAGGAAATTGGGCGGCCCGCCCTTTCCGAAATTAGCCTAATTTTTTTTTGCGGGTTTCCGGGCAGATAAAGCTTGTTTTTAGTGTCTAGGTTTGATGCTACTCACATGTTATTACCAATCGCCTTTACAAAATCTTCTAAATTCTGCTCATGACTGCTTCAGAAGGCTGCGTTGAGTAAAATTCGTCCAGCTGGTTTGATAGTGTGATCGATTCCGACGAAGCCTGACGCGATGCGGCCACTTTTTATACTCCTTAATCCCAATTTTTCACAGCTTTTCCGCAACTTTCCAATCCACACCAATATACGCGCACTCCCCGGCCCTCAATATCCCCCAGGGGCCGTTCAGTAACCGTGTGAGGGCGGTGTTGCGCACAGCTTCTCCTTGGCAGGGCCCCTGGCAAGACCCCAAAAAGGGCCCAGCACAGCGCCCAAAATGTCCGCATTCAGCTAATCTTTTTTTTTGCAGCGAGCAGTTTTGCACCTGGCTTGTTGGTCGCAATTTTCGGGGGTTTTGTGATAGGGGACGGGTGTTTGACTTCATTCAGTATCTCTCTCGCTTCCTCCCGCTTTCTCTCTCTCACTCCCGCGCTCTCACTCTTTCTCGCTCTGTATCTCTCTATCACTCTATCTCTCCCGCTTTCTCACGCTCTCTATCCATCACTCTCTCACACTCGCTCTCTCACACACTCTCTCTCTTTCACCCTCTCGCTCTCACTCTCTCTTCCCTTGTCCAAAAATTTTCCGTTTTCTAAATAATGCCTTTTCTTACCGTATCATTTCCAGGTGGCTGAGGTGGACACCGTGGAGGAGGGCCAGTGCGAATTGGCCGTCGACCCGAACTGGAGGATGAGCCGGGCCGAGAGCGCCTGCCGCCTCAAACTCATACGGGTTGAGGTCGGTTTTCAATGCCTAAGGAAAGGAGAGAGAGAGGGTGAGAGAGAGAGAGTGAGAGAGATAGCGGTAACATTTCCTAAATTGCCTAAAAATCCACTTATTTACCGTATCCTCTAGGTGGCCGCCGAGCTACTCCCGCAGGGCTGTACACCCAGTGATTTGGTGGCCGCCGTCAATGTCAAGGAGAAGATCGAGATCAATGGTACCGTATTCTCCTCCTTACCTGCCCCTTTAAAGGGACCGTGCCGGCAAAAATCGCATTTTTCGCACTTCTCCCCGGCACAGTCGTGTAGGCATGCTTGCAGAGACCATTTGCGATAATAAAAAACTTACAAAACCTCTCGGCTCGCCTACTGTACTTTTGCGAAAAAACACTAATTGTGCTAAATTTTCGGGTGTAATAATCAAGTGAAGAGCGAGCTTGGGCGTCTAAAAGCTGCCCTTTCTACCTTAAGCCCAAGCTCGCTCCAAAAAAGGGTTTTCACCATTTTATCTCAGCCGCTTTAGGCGAGTACCGGTTGGTGCAGAAGAAGAAGACAATCTACCCGGAATGGGAACGGTAGGCGAATTTTTGGGCTTAGGCCTGGGCTTAAGTTTAGGTTTAGGCTTACACTTAGGCATAGGCTTAGGCTCAGTCTTAGCTTAGGCTTAGGTTAAAGCTGAGGCTTAAACTTAGGCTTAGGCTTAGGCTAGGCTTAGGCTTTGAAAGCACAAACCTGAGTACACTTGTTCTTTCAGTTGCTGGGACACGGCCGTCACCCCGGGGCGGATAATTCAAGTGGTGCTCATGCACAACCAGATACCCGTCGTCGAGGCCACGATGCGGTTAGAGGTGAGCATCACCCCTTCGTTCCGCTAGACACCAAAAGACGACGAGTGGACTTGCACTTTTGCCCATTTTCTCATGGGTTTGGATTTGAAAATCCTTTTGAGCATTTTTTGACGTTTTAAGGGTTGAATTTCCGGGAGAATCATGCTTTTTTCGGTTTTTCCATCGAAACATTGCCGAGGCATTCTAGCAGAGATTCCTAGGAAATTTTGTTAAACTTGAGAGACTCGCTGGAGCATCAGAGTTCATCCCGAGTATGTCGAGGTGCGGGGGGATGAATATTGCAGTTGCCTTTTTCGGCCGACCCCTCCCATCACTCTGGAATGAATCCTAAATGATCCCTGCTCGTCTGCCTTTTGCGGAGTTGTTTATCAAAAGAACCCTGCTAGCTTGCCTTTTTTGGCCCGAATTCCTTCCCTAAACTTGCGCCAGCACGAGTGATCGGAGAGTCAGTTTTCAAATACTTCCGGTTAGCCTGTTCTCTCATGATGAACCTCTGCTAGCTTACCTTTCCTCAAAAAGCTCGGCTAACTTGCCTTTTATCGAAATATCTCTGAAATCATGCCTACGCGGAGATATTTCTCAAACGATTTCTGCTTGTTAGCGCTTTCTCAAATGGTCTCCGCTAGTTTGCCCTTCCTGCTAGCCTGCCTCAAGTAAAGAGCTTTTCGAAAAGAATAAATGGCCGCTGCTGGCTGGCCTTCTAGCCAGTTTTCCTCAACACTCTCTGCTAGGCTGCTTCCTTCTAAATGGTCTTTGCTAGTCTAAATTTTGGAGGGCTCAAATGATCTCTCGTATTTACCTTGCTCCCTGAAATTCCTCCAGGATTTCTGCTAGCCTGCCTCCCAAACGATCCCTGCCAGTGTCCCCCTCCTAAATGATCACTGCTAGCTTGCCAGGGGTGATTTTTGAAAACCGACTTTTCTTTTTATCGGCTTCCCCTGAAAAAACCCTTTGCAACTGATCGCCGGCCCTAAATAGCCTTGATATCTGATAGTTGAGCCGCGGCAGCGGGTCTGTTCTTTCTTTTTCGTCCTCAAAAAACGGCTGCTGAGTGGGGAAAATGCGATTCCGCGGCCGTCGCAGCCGAGCTCATCGGATTTGGGCCCTAAGGGGGTGACCCCTTCCTCCCCCCTTAGGGCCCAAATCCGTTATCAAATTCGACAAGTGCCCACAGCAGCCGGCTAGCGCCTTCTGCCCGCTCAATTGATTTTCGGGTGGGTGGGATTGAGCTGGTAAAAAAGGGGGTGAAGTGAAGAGAGAGGGAGAGAGAGAGAGAGAGAGAGAGAGAGCGGCCAAAAGCAAGTCCATGGGATAGAAAGGTGTTCAGGGGAGCTGATTTCCATTTTGGCGCTTCCCCCTGCCATCCGGATGGCCCTTTTGGCCCCTCCACCTGGGGCCGTGTCCCCCGTGGGCCCTGTTGAACTCTTGGGATCCCTGCAGATTCCCGCGGGCCCAAATGTTTTATCGATTTGCTGGCTTTGATATTAGCTTTTCTTAGTTTTCAAGAATTTTATAGTTTGGAGGGACCGTTAAGGCCTGATTTTTTTTGAGATTTTTACGCCGTAAACGATTAAACGTACACAGAACTGCGCATTAAACACAAAGAGAATTTTTTTATTGTAGGTAAAAAACCTCATTTCGACGTCGTCATTGATTAAAGGGACGTAGAAACCGTATTTCACCCAATTACCGTAATTTTTTTGGTAAACTCCCAGGAAGCCGGCCAGCTAGCAGGGTTTATTGGAGAATTTGGCTTTCTGGGTTCGAAAACGACAGCCAGTTCGGGCTTAGACTAAGATGGAATCTAAATAAATTAGGAAAATTAGTTTCCCCACCCCCGCTATTGCAAAAGAACCAGTTCAACTTTATATAAGAATTAAATGAATTTTTTATCTAAAATTAAACCAAATTTTGCAGGACATTGTCTCCAAATGCAAGGGTGACCAAATCACGCACATCTGGATCAACACAAAGCCCAGCGGCCGCATCCTCGCCCAGACGCGCCATCTACGCAACGCCGGTCCGTTTTTTCGAGGGTTTTTCGGTGTTTTTGGGGGCACTGCCGGGCTGCATTAACCCTGAATATGGCTTCTCGCACCGCGCGAAACGATTTCGAGTTGATTGGGAAGCGCCAAAAGGCATTTTTTCGTCAAAAAAATCAATTTTTCAAAGTCAAATAGCCAAAAATGATTTTAAAAGATTTCCCAAGAATCTCACCTTGTCAAAAAAAATGCATGTGCACGTGTGTGTCGTTATTTTGGGTAAATCGATGTTTTCCAATGATGAGGTATCGATATTAACTGATTTTCTGATTTTCGGGCTTTAATATCGGTTCGGATGGATATCTGCAACACGTTAAGAGTAGCGCGTAGTAAATAAAAAACCATAGTAATGTCGGCATTTTCTAAGGGTGATATTCACTTAATGAAGTTTAACTATATAAATTTAATGTTTAAAAAGCTAATTGCACCATGTATATCAAGTGCGCGCTGTATACAGGCGTCGCTAGTAGTCCTACGTAGCTCACAAAACTATAGTGATGTCGACTTCTTTTAAAAGCTATATTGATTTAATCAAGCTTAACTTTTAAAACCAAACGCTTGAAAAACCGATTAGGCAAGGTATATCAAGTGCGCGCCGTCTCCACCCGTCGCTAGTACCCGCGCGTAGCCCACCAACCGGGACGTTTCGATTTTTAGCGCTTAAAAAGTGTTATCAATAATGTTTTCAACAGTATTACCCTCAGATTCTTAATTACGGCTCCCCTGTTATGTTTGGGGGCCGGTGTTTTGAGGAGCCGATTAACCCGACCATCTATTTATCTATCGGCTTCACCCCCAGATTTCCGGCCACCAACCCTACAATTTCACCTCCCCACCACAAAATCATCAGGAAAGAATAGAAGGAGAAGAAGGGCGGCGTAAGGAGTAGCGTCCCGAAAAAAATGGCAGAAAAAATGGGGCAACACAGAAGAGAGGAATCTGAAAAATTGATTCCTCGCCTCTTGCCTCAATTTCTGCCGCCCTTATTTTGGACCCTAATTACGTTGAAGTCGCTACTTCTGGGGGGCCCACCCGGCCGGCATTGACTCTCCCATTTTTGGAAACTCACAGCGAAAAATTGGGAGCCTTCTATGGAATTTCGGGATTCCGAATTTTCCGTATTGACGCTAAACTCGTTGGAATTTTGCTAAATATTTAAATTCGCCGATCTACCAGACTATGAGCCCTAGTATTCATTCTGATCGGGTGCTGCCCATTTCCTAAACCGTGCCCCTACTACCGTACCTGAAAATGGGCCTTTCCCGCTCGAAACCCCGGGTCGTCTACTCCACCGATCGGCCGAAACCCGTTGAAGGTAAAAAATTAAAGGAAAAAATTGATAAAATTACATAACTATTCAAATAATATAGTGTTATGCTTATTATAGAGATTTTAAGGGGTAAAATTATTTTTATATAGATTTTTGCGTGCTGTGCTGTGTGGTGGATTGGTGTGGAAAATTGGCTGTTGCTTCCTTATTTTTTTAAAAGCAAATCCGTACTTACACGTGGAAATATTAAGGAAATATGCTGCAATATCCAGGGCCAAAAGGCAAAAGGTTGCATCCCGGCCCGGCGTCGAACCCTAGCCTTGAGCCCGGTAGTTCTGGAAGCTAACCAATACACCACGGGTCAAGGGGCTGTCTCGCCCAAAAAAAAAGATAAAAAACGTCAGAATCAAGGACGAAAAGTGCCTAAATACGATCCACAGCGTTTACTAGCCTTCAATGGTCCTTTAATCGAGATTTTTGGCAAAGTTCGATGATGGGCTTGCGGCCAAAATGGCGACGACCAGCTTTTTCAGATTCCGCAAATATTTATGGGGAATATCAAGGAGGCGAGAGAGAGAGAGAAAGAGAGAGAGTGTGAAAGACAGAGAAAGAGAGAGAGAGAGAGAGAGAGAGAGAGAGAGAGAGAGAGAGAGAGAGCTTCTCAAAGATGGGTTTCCGCCCCATTCCACCATACTCCAATGCTCATCATTTGCCACACATATCCCTAGGGCATAGGCTGGCCAAAGCTTTTTGCGTTTTTTTTTGTGTCGCCTTTTCGTAAAATTCTCAAAACCTTGTTTTTGGAAGTTCGTGCTAGTTCAGGAACGCGCAGAATTATTCTGAATCGCGTGCCCGATGGTCCTTGAAGTTGTGGAACACCCACGCGCATCCGGCTGTCCAAAAAGCTTCGTAAAAATTTTCGCAAAACCCGCCTGGGTGGATATTTTTTTTCCTTAGCGGGGGTGGATATTTTTAAACAGCAAACTAAGGTTTTCTAGACGCGGCCTAAAAAAACTAAATTATTTTTTGAATTTGATGGTTTTTCGATGCCAAAAATGTTAGAAAATTATTAAACTTATCGAGAACCCGGCTTTTTTTGTTCGAAATTTGCAGGTTAAGGTTTAATTTTCAATTTTTAGTAAGCTCGGTTGGATTAAGCCTTAATCATTAAGGAGTTTTTTTCACTGTTTCTAAGAATCCCCCCACCGCTAACACACCAGGACCCGGCGCAGATTGAATCTGGCCAATCTTTTGTGTCATCTTTTTCATCAAACTCCCGGAACCGAGTCCCAAGATTTTCCCATAAATAACGGTAGTCAATTCGCGGAATTCCCCGATATTCCCATGGACGGGCGACCCCCCTGTAAATAGCAGCCAATCGGACATGTCAATGCCGCTGGGCCGTGGATCTCCCTCAACATGTATTTTTGCGCGATATTATTTTGGATTTTGACCTGATAGTATTTCATTTTATTTTCTGGCTTAAAAACAATTCTTGAATGGTCTCTGCCAGTTGCCTTCTTGATTAGAAAAGGTTTTCGAAGGCTTGTTTTGTTCAGTTTCGATTTTTAAAGCAAAATCTGTGAAAACTATCGATTTTTGTGTATTTAATTCTACGCAAAACGGGATGTTTTCATATCGGGCCGGCTTTTCAGATGTCGATATTTTCGTCGTCGTGATTTTAGCTGTCGGTATTTAGGCCATGGGGGTAAAAAGTCGATATTTTCGCAGCAGACATAGGGTTTTTCACTGTCGGCATTTTTGGCTGTAGGGATTATGGCTGTCGGGGTTATGTTTATCAAAATTTTGACTTTCGGCATTCTTCATTGTCGGTATTTTAATTGTCGAAACTTTAGCCAATCGGCATTACTGCTACTGAAACTTATAGTTTGCTTTCGGGATTTTATCTCACGGAATCATCGTTGTCGGCATTTTCACTTTCGGTATTTTAGGTGTCGAAACTTTAGTGTGTCGGGATTATATCCAGAATTCCTTTTCAAACCTCAAAACCCCCAGGTACCCCGATAGTTTTAGGGTTGCATCCCGACCCAACCCACCCCAGTCCTCCTCCCGGAAACCAATGCCATTTGTGTGTATGTGTGTTTTCTGTGTGTCTGTCTTTTTGTGTGTCTGTCTACATGCCGGTCTGTCCATCTTTCGGCAAAAGACGAATCGAATTGTGTGTATCTCGGGGAGGAGGGGGAGGAAAGGAGGCCCAACCAGGAGAGGAGCCCCAACAGCGAGGAAATCGCTATCACCCGTCCGGGGGCCCCAGGACGGCAATCCCAGAAATTGGGCCTCGTTCCGGCGGACGGCCTCGAAACAAAAAGGAGCAGGAGGAGGAGTAGGAGGAGGAGGAGCAGCGGTTTTGGAGACAGACTTTGCCTAGGTAGCGTCACTATTCTGTCGTCACGTCCAAGGCTTTTCTCTATTGGTTTATGGTAGTTTGGGCGTGGATTAGAAAGAGATTTAGGTTTTCTTTTGCTAAAACAAGACTCTAGAGTTTTTTCTGGCGATCAAATTGAACAGATTTCCTGGAACTTGTTTTTGCGCACCAGCACAGTGCTTCCTAATCAATCAGCGGGGGATCAACTTTCGAGTCGGGAGATCCAAGGTCATTTCTTCGAAAATTTTGCGCTCTGAACCGGGGGAATGGTATTTATTTTTGGCTTTATATCTGTTTATATTGTGCAAAGGAGATAGATTTAGATCTATGGGAGCTTTGGCATTATCGGGGGTGTCAGGGGAAAACCCACATTTTTCTTCAGTATCTAGCTTTTCTGTTCGAATTAAAGGAATGTTTCCGAATCTCTACATTGTTTTTGCTATTCCTAAACGCAAAACACTTTACCAGCTTCGATTAAAAATACGAAAACTATAGATTCTTCAAAAATTTTTTTTTGACATGGAATATGGTTTAATCCTACTATATATAAAAAAATAGTGTTTGTGTGTGTGTGTGTGACACTTTGCATGCAACTTCCGTCAGGGTGTCCGGAGGATATCTCAAGGGGGGAAGGGTATTAGGCCAATATGATAAGGTCATTAGGGAGCGTAATGGTCTGGGGAAATGACTGCACGCATAACAGATTTTCCCAAAATATGGCATTTTGATTAAAATCAATTTTTTAAAAAAAGGAAGCCGCCTTTGTTTGGCATTAACAAGAAAAAAGACGGCAAAGGCGCGCCTTTATAGCGGCGGAGAGGGGCATTTTTTATTATTTATTATCGGAAATTCGGGCGAATTAAGCAATTGCAGGATATCATGGGCTCCGGAAGGGGAGGGTTTGAAAAGGCGGGGACGCGAAGGCTTTTCAACCCTGGTTTGTACTAAAAATACGACTAAGCTATTTTTAAGATCATAAATCGGCGACGCTTTTTTCTCTGACGTAATAAAAAGATCGAGATTTTCATCGCATAGTTTGACTTAAGCAACAAATACTAAAAACTATTACCAATTTCTTAGCATCCCCATGGCCATAATCCAAAAATCACCATTTCCAATATTCCCAGATGCCCCGAAATTTTTCATCGCTGTGCAAATACGGTGACCCCGACGGGTCGGCAGCCCTGCAACCTCTCGGCCGGCTTCCATTCATTTTTAGGCTTTTTATACTAATCCAAATTCGTCCGAACTCGCCCCGAATTGATAGTACATCACGGCAAAAGGCGTCATTTTCCTGGGAGGGCGTGAAAACAAAGAAACACCAGCCGGGGCGAGCATTTTCAATTGTCTGTGCGCGGATCGGATTAGGCAGCAGGGGGATTTTTGTTTCAGAAAACTTTGAGAAATAGGCGGGGAAATTAGGAGCGAGCAGCAACGTCCATTTGGCGTTCGGCAATCTAATCTTGTCGGGGGTTTATCGCGTAAACAAAGAAATCGTTTTTTCGTATCTGGGTGGTAGACAATGGCGGCTGGTAATCTGCGCACTGGTTTTTGGCGTTCTTTTTTGTTCGAAATATTATAAGTTTTTCCACGCGCTTTTATCGATTTTTTTCGTACGATTAACTACACATAGTCCACAAATCGGTGCTTTGGCCTTATCAGGGGGGCAACCAATTTTGTTGTTTGTTTTTTTTTAGTTTTTTTTTAGTAATATTTGCCTATATTTCCGTTGGAAAACTGGAAAAAGTTTTTGAAAAATTCAAAATTTTGATCGAAAAATGAAATTTTTTTCTTTTTTTTTGGAGATAGTAAAAAAGAGCCGAGAAACACTGGGTCGATGTTTGAAAAATTTTATTTCCTGTGATAACCGCCCCCCGCGATAATGGAAAAGTACCCACAAATTTAACCTTCTACTCTGCTCGTTTCTTTGTTAGCCATTGCTTGAAATATTTCTGTGAATCGAGTAAATTCGAGTTTTCGTCGCTGGTAAAAATCCAAAGTCGATCGATCGGATAGTAGACGACCAAGTGCCGAAAAGCTTTTCGTTTTCAGACCCTGTAGTTGTTCCCGTTCCCCCGCCCCACCACCGCCAAACCAAACGAATTTATTCAATCACATGATCATTAACGGAAATAATTACACCATTCACATCATTCAAATCAAATCAATTTCTCGAGCTGCGTGTAGAAATTTCTGCGAGCCGCTTCGAACTTGACGCCGACCTTCGCCTAAAAGATTTTTGTGCTGACCCAAATGCGGCCCGTACCCTGATGTAGTCGAGGACGGTGCTGTAGATGAACAGATACTGGGGGGCCGTTTGGATGGCGCTGGCTCGGCAATTGCGCAACTCCTTGAAGACGTCGACCACCGTCACTTCTTTATTTTTGAAGAGACGAGTGGTGATCATGTCGATGGCAATCAGGGTGCCAGTACGGCCGATACCAGCCGAACAGTGGACGATCGTAGTTCCCGAGCCGCTTTCCTATAAAATGGATGGTTAGAAACACTTTCTGCTTGTTCATCTACCTTCATCAACCGCAAAATGCTAATGGCCGAGTGACCGGAAGAGGCGGCGCTCTGATCGGCCCATCCTGGGCAGTGGATCAGCTTGATGACGTTCGAGTTCGAGCACCCGTCCGGCAGCACCTCCAGCGTGTAGATGGTGAGTTGAGCTTTGGCCTCGGTTTCGACCTTCTTGTTGTTGACGAACATCTTGCCGTGGTTCTTGAATTCACCGGCTTTCTGTGGCCAGTACTCCGCGAAGCCAGCTTTGTCGCTAGCGATGCCGAGGCAGATGACGCTGGTGGCATTCTCCTGAAAATGGGAATGGCTTTGTCTTTCTCTCCCTCTCTCTCTCTCTCTTTCGCCCGCTCTCTCTATCTCTCTGTCTCTCTCTCTCTCTCTACCTGAAAAGTCATCCTCCAAAAGTCTTCGATAGTGCTTGGCAGTGGTCCTTGAGTGGCGATGTATTTCCGCTCCAGATCGTCGGCCGTCACCCAGTTTGCGTGGATATAGTCGCCATCTGCCGATGTGTAGTTGCCAAAGTCGTTTCGAAGGACGACACGCGTAGCATCCAGGCACATTACATCCTATTGTTCGGTTAATTTCGGAGCATCCTCAGTTAGTACCTTAAATTTGTTCTTCTCCGGGTTTTTGTTCGCCGCTTCGCACTTCATGACGGACGGCAGATAGGTCTTGTTGGCGTCGAATTCTTCGAGCATTCCGGTGGGTGTGACCTAAACAAGACGGGTTAAAGGGGGCGGGAAGTGGGAAATTCGACCCCATGCGGCGCCTAGGTCTAGACAGTTCATCCCGACCCTAACGTAGCCCCGGCCTTACGCGGTACTGGACTGTTGGCTTGGGGCGGGCTCATTAGCGCGTTAGCTCGCAGGGGTAGATCGGAACCGTAGTCCCTAGTACGTTACCTTTTCGATGTGCTGGACAAACTTGTCGATGGCGGCATTGGAAGGGATGGTCTTGGCGACAGCTCTTGCCGTCTTCTTCTTCGTCTGACCCGAGACTCCGCCGGCCTTCTTGCCGCTATTTTGTTGTTTCTGGGTGTTCTGCTCCGGCGACTCATCCGTCTGCTCCCTACTTCCTCCCGTCGTTTTAGCTGAAATTGCGAGAATATTCCGGCATTCTCACGATTTTCGGTGCTTTCCGCTGCCCTAGGTGGGGGCTGATTGTGCATTTTTTCACCAAGAGCTGTTGCCAATATTAATGCAATTTTATCGGCGGTTGTTATTTTTTTGATTGCTAGAAAATCATATAAATCAAATAAAGTTTGAATTTTTACCTTTTTTGACGATTTTCATAGATTTTTGCACAAAAAGTCAAAGTTTTTGACGATTCTACAATTTTTATAAGGTTTTTAAAGCTATAAAATGTGTGAAATGTATAAAAATCTATTATATCTTGTTATTGGATCGTGCAGATTTATTGTAAAAAAAATTATATAGAAAACAAGTTCCTGGAAAATTACCCGTACCATTCCTCTCCCTGTTTGTGCCGGCGACATCTTCCAATATCTGCTCGGCCGATGCGCCGCCCCTAGCAGGAAAAAATAAAAAAGGCTCTTATTCAAATAAAATGACCGATTTTGTTTAATGGGAAGGGGGCTGGCTTGATGGCTTTCTAACGATCAATGTCTAAAAACTATAAAAATACTATATAATTTTAAAATGCGGAAAAACGTTTCGGTGGAAAAATCCCACCCCCCCCCCCCGTTAACAGAGAAGAACCCCAATTTTTGATTTGAATAAGAAGATTAGAAGTTTGCAATTTGGTTTGGCCGAGACAATTATATTTGTGAAATTTTCAAATCCGCCGTTGAAATGGCATAATTTAATTTGCCCTAACATCCCTGGTCAGGCGTCAATTTACCGTTTTTTGGTGGTAGCGGCGGCTGCGCGGCCCTTTGTCGGCGGAGGCGTCTTCTGTGCCATGTAAAACGTTAATAGAAATAGGAGAATAGAGAATAGAAAAGCCGTCGATGGGTGTAGAAAGTGGATGGGATGGAAGGTGAGAAGAGCTGTCGAATTTTATTCGAGATTCTTGGCCAAATCTCGGCGTATTTCCGCGGCAGAAGATGTTAGAAGGCAGCAGATGAATGGTGTATTCTAATTCGAAATGGAGATTGTCTTTTGAATTCATTCAAAATGGATAATTTTCGGGACTTGTCTGCTAGCGGGGGGTATTTATTGTTTTTGCCTATTAATAATAATAATAATGTATACAGTAATTTTATGGTGTTTTGAGTACTTTGTGATTGCTAAGAAGTTATAAAAAATGGATAATTTTTTTTGATCTTTTTACGGCCGTGTTTCATGGATTTTGGCAAAAAGTCAAAAATTGTCGCCAAATTTGTCATTTTTCATTGTTAAAAGCTATTTAAGATGCAAATATAAGCGCTGTAAACCACAAATTGACAAGATTAAAAAAATCAGAAGCCATAAAAAAGTGATAGCTAATTTTACGAAGTTTCAAAGGCCCAAAAACCTCCAAAACTACCTCGCACCCGCCAACTAACAACGCTTTTTCACATTTGTCTTAATAGATAATTATCATATAACGTCTCACTTTTTGCACGCTCTGTTTTATAACCCTCTTATACGTATGGTGACCGTTGTCCGATTCAGAAGAAATGCCGTCAGCCGCCTCCCCACAAAAGCAGACGTCGAGCGCGAAGAGTGCGCGCTCTTCGGCACGAGGTAAAAATAGGCATTTTAGACTGGTTAGAATGTCGGCATTTGACAATGTCATATTTTCACATTTCATAATGTCGACATTTCCGGATGCTGAAATCATAAACTCGAAACTTTCGATATAGAATTTTATGGTGTCGCAAGTTCATGAAAACCCATTCGAAAAATTAGCTCAAATCCTATGCTAAAAAATGCCGACACATCGAAATTTCGGCATTCTTGGATTTCGACATCCCAAATTTTAGTTTTCTCTTAGAAATTTGAAAAAAAACCGTTTAGAAAGAGCATTCCCGGTTTAAAATATGGAAAACTACCCATAATGACCAATTTGGGTCGAGCCAAATTCGGGTAATTTATAAAAATCGATACAATGCGATTTTATAAATCCGTTATTTTAATTCTAAGGCTCTCGGCCTCCATTAGCAAAATTCTGGCTCTTCTTGTGCTCTGATTTTTTTGAGTTCTGCTTTGAGACCGACAGCCACGCCCGCGCTTTCAATGGCGATGAATAAAATAGGCTAGGAGTCAAATTAAATTGGGCGTTTTGGAGGGGGCAGCATAGAGAATTCGACATTTCGCGCCGGCTTTTATTCCCACGGGTCGTAAGCTACAATTATTAGAATCGTAATTTGCTGCCGTACGTTTCGCGTAACCGGTAGGATTTGGTTGGGCTTAGGTCAGGCTTAAGTGAGACTTACGCTTAGGCTTAGGCTTAGCCGTAGGCTTGGCTTAGGCTTGGCGTAGGCTTGGCTTAGGCTTGGTTTAGGCTTAGCTTAGGCTTCGGCTTGGCTTAGGCTCTGACTTGAGCTGAGAGTCTGGAAAATCTTTACAAAATTCTCTAATTTTTATGTTGTGGTAATCCTCTCGAATATTTTCGTCGTTTACCTCAATGTCGTGCGCATGGTACCGTATCCCCCAATGTTAAAAGTGGCGTCCCCTTGGGTCTATCTAGTTTTTGTGTTGTGAGGTTATTAAATACGAGTAAAAAGGTATTTATCTGATTTTTTAAAAGTATTTAATCCGTTTAAAAATTGTAGTTTAGCCAGGGACAGCGTATAGTTTTATTAAAGGGACTGGAAAGTCAGGAATTTGTGCTTGAAAATTAAATCTGCTGTTTTCAGACGAAGACCAGGATGAGATCGGGCCCGAGGAGGGGATGAACGCGCGTGGCTTCGGATCCCCACACGGCATTCAGCGCCGTCGTGGTGCCATCAAGCATGCAAAGGTACATTTTCTTGATTTACGGCAACGTCGAGGTTTTTGATTTAGCCAATTCTAATTTCGTCAAAATTTTAATTAGCGAATTTTTATTTTATCGATTTTCATTATACCGATTTTTCACTTTCTGGTTTTTAAAATCCTGTTAAGTAATGTAACAGCTAAACTTAAATTAAATGACGGAAAGTTTGTAAACTCCTTGATTTGGATTAGGTTTTTAGATTTTTCGATTTTTATAAGTCTAAGACTTCCTTTTTGCCTAATTTCTTCAATTCTCGAAATAATGAAAAATTATCGTTTTAAAACCGGAATCATGTTTATTATCGGTTAAATACTGTTTTGACATGTTTACTTGTTCTAAATTTTCAATAGTTAAAAATCAAATTGGTTTTTAAGCTTAATTTTTATAAATAGGCTTTTTCGTTTCCTAAAGCTAAAGAGCTATTCAAAACCCCCATTTAAATTTTTAAATTTTTCAAAGCACAGCCTAAAGAAAAAGCCGTCTACTATGGATTTTCATCTTCTTTATAACAGCTCAGTTCCATCTTCATTACAATTCCTTTTAGCCTAATAGCATTTTTGCCTCTTCAGGGCTTTTAGAAAAATATTGCCCCCTGACACCCCCATTTTATCTCGATGAAAATGTTGGATTATCCGGGCCGGGTGACCCAATTCTACAGTACCGCCTTGGAAATCCCGGGTCTAAGATCGGCGATTTTCGGATAATAACCGAAAAGTGTTCTATTTCCCATATCTGGTCAACAAGCCTCTTTTCTTCTAGGGATTCCAGAACTCATTCGAGAATTGCACAAAACAACGGTCATCCCTTTCTCTGTGTTTTTGCACTTTCAAAGCAGCTGCCACTATTTTTGTTATTTTTCTCGGGTAATTTAGCAGTCTAGATAAACAGAAAGTGCCCTAAAAAATTGCCGAATTTTACCAATCGTAATTTACTTTTTTTTTCAGGTCCACGAAATCCGGGGTCACCAATTTGTGGCCACGTTCTTCCGGCAGTTCACCTTCTGCCAGTTCTGCTCCGATTTTATGTGGTAAGTAAGCATTTTGGGATCGGTTCTCTCTCTCGCCCTATCTCACTCTCTCTCTCTCTCACTCTCTATCTCACTCTCTCTCACTCTCTCTCGCTATTTCTCTCTTTCTCTCTCTCTCGTCCTATCTCTCTCTCTCTCTCTTTCTCTCCCTCACTCTCTATCTCACTCTCTCACTCTCTCGCTGATGTCACGCTCCCTTTGAATCCGAAGAAATCCACCTGTTTTAACGGGAGTGCGACATCATCCTCTCCCAACACCCCTAAAACCCGAATTTTCAGGGGTCTGAACAAGCAGGGCTATCAATGCCAACTGTGCTCGGCCTCCGTCCACAAGAAATGTCACGACAAATTGTTGACACAATGCCCCGGATCGGCCAAGAATACAAAGGAGACTATGGTAAGCAAAGGGGGCAGACTAGCCGAGATTTTGGAGGATCGACAAATTAACCGGAAACGCTTTGAATATGCGGAAAACATGCCGAAATTTCCCAACGGCGAAATTTCAAAATTCCGGCATAAATCATCAAAATGCCGACAGTTCAAAACGGCGAAATTTCAAACAACCGACGCTTCACAATGTCGAAGTTTCAAAATACCGACATTTGACAATGTCGAATTTGTCGGATCAGGGGGTTTTCCGGAAATTTTCTCATGGATAGCTATGAAATTTCGGCATTTCGTAATGAAATTAAAAATTTCGACATATGAAATTGGCTTTATGATACTTTTAAATGTGAGTGAAATTCAGGACTGCAAAATTTTTCCCAATTTTAAAAATTTTTTGATCATACCGTAGAAAAATGCAACGTAATTTAAGCATTTAATCAGGAAAATCCCATCCAACATCCACAGGTAAAACCAAAAATGACAAATATAACATAAATACGAGGCTTTGAACGTTAGTCAAAAA